AGGGATTGCTGAAGAGTCAATGAGTCGATGCAATCAGCTGGTTTTCCTTAGATAGAAAACTTTGAATCAATCTGAGTGGATGATCTGGTGTACTGGAAAGTGACCTGAGATGACATGATGTGAATTGGAGCTATAGAAATAGACTGAATAGAATTGAGTTTAGTTTTGAAATAAATGTGACACCATATTAATTCCTCAACGCAGCGGCTCGGCTCGCTGCGGCGCAAACCTTCCCACAGCACAACGGCCCCTCTACCGTGCAGCTCTGCCTCACCGGCTTTGGCCAGCATGGAAGCCAGCAGCTTGCAGACGATGGATCCTCTCTTCCTCATCTTGCACTGCTTGCTGTAGGGAAAGTAGGGAATGACTCCGATGATGTTCTTCGCACAAGACGACTTCAAAGCGTAAGCCATCACCAGCAGCTCCATGACGGCCGTGTTGACGTCCCTGAAGCGTCGATGGAGACATTAAAAACAGATTGAATCAAATCCATTTTCCGTCTTTTTATGTAGGTTTAAAGGAACCTGGAAACATTCTGAGGCAAAGGCTGGTTCAGAACAGGTTTGTTTTTCTATTCAATGCTAAAAAAACATTATTTAAATTTAATATATGTAATATATCTCCACAGAAAAGCTGCACCTTCACCTTCTTATAAACCTCGTGGTTCAAAGGGAGGGAAAAAGCTGGGGTTTATAGTCAGGAAAATACGGTAGTATTATGTTTTTTGTCAGCCAATGACGCACTGAGTAGTTATAAAACCATCCTTTTATCCGTCTTTATTTTATTGTTCTTTACAGGAGTTTAATCATCAGTTTGCCATCAGAGGATCAGAGCTGGAATACCTTGGAATGGTCTGAATAATAAAGACGTCTTGTCCTCGGACAGATTCCTTCACTTCCACTTTCGTCTCTGCAGGGAGAGAAAGTTTCATAGTTGGTTCAGGTGTGAGACGCTCTGATTGGATCCCGGTTACCTGGACAGACCGCTAAACCGTACCTGAGTTTGACTCCTGATAAACGACCGACCTGCCCAGCTCCACACCCAGGCGCCTGGAAACAACAACACAGAAAATCCAAACTAGAATCAAACATTTCATGTGATGAAACGTGTGTAGAGCTGTAGGTTCCTTAAAGATTTTCTACTAAATGAAAAAAATCAGGTGAAAGTAAAACTTTTCCACCTGANATGAATCCTCTGCAATTATCAGGAAAATGTTTTAGATAAAATCAACTGAAGGGATATCAGAAGGTCTGAGCTGCTGAGAAACATCAGAAGTTCAACGTTTAGAATAAAAAAAAAAAATTATATCTTTGGACTTCAAAATTGCTTTTTAATCAGATTCTGGATATTTTGATCAGATTTTTTTGTTTCCATCCATCCGTCCATTGGTTGGTTTGTTCGTCCATTCATTCATTCATTCATTCATTCATTCATTCACCCACCCATCAATCCATTCATCAGTCTATCCGTCCGTTCGTTTGTTCGTCCGTCCATCCATTCATTCATTCATCCATCCATCCGTCCGTTCGTTTGTTCGTCTGTCCGTCCGTCCGTCCGTCCATCCATCCATCCATCCATCCATCCATCCATCCATCCATCCATCCATCCATCCATTCATCACTCTATCCATTCATTCATCCGTCCGTCCATCCATCCATCCATCCATCCATCCATCCATCCATCCGTTACATGCCACCATTCCCTCTTATAGACCTGAATCAATTAATTGTGATTAATTAATTATTGAAATAATCTTTAACTAATTCAGTAATCGATTAATCGTTAACTGGAGTATAGAGGCTGTAAAACACGCCTTTAGCTGACAGAGCGACACAATTAGAGCAGGAATTATACCAAGATTGTAAAGAAATCTATAAACTTTTTGCATTTAAGATAAAATATATACATTTTTTTTCTGTCAATCTGCTGCATCCAGAACTCTTCAGGTGGAAAAGTTTTACTTTCACCTGATTTTT